ACCTATCTTAGTAATACTAGACCCCGATAAAGAATACGAACTCGAAATAGACGTATCCGACTAGGCTCTAGGAGCATAACTCGGACAGCGCGACGCAGAAGGAAGACTACACCCTATAGCCTTTATATCCAAGAAACTCAGTGGACTAGAACGTAACTATTAGATCCACGATAAAAAGCTAATAGCTATTATCGAAGCCTTTAAAGAATAGAGACCGTATCTATTAGGGATAAGACACCCGGTATAGGTCTACACGGATTATAAGAACCTCGCGTAATTCACCACTACTAAGGTTCTTAATAAACGATAGATCCGATAGGCAGAATTCCTAGCCGAGTTTGATTTCTATATTTAGTATATAAAAGGGAGCGAAAATAGTCGCGTAAATGCACTTAGCTGATTAGGGATACCTAACGAATCACCTAAACCGTAAGCTATACTCTAATAGGAAGGAAAAGCTCTTACTCTAAAGCATAAAGAGGTAAATAGTATTAATCGGATAACCGATACTATATTTCAAGAAGCACACGCCTCGCCGATACATAGATATCAAGGAATTTATAAAATATACCACCGATTACGCTAATAATACGGCTACACAGGAACCAAAGAACGAGTCAGGGACTTCGTTCGTAACTACGATATTTACTAAAAAGCAAAGAGCAGCCGATATAAACCTTACGGACTACTAAAGCCACTACCAGTAACAGACGGACTATAGAAATCGATTATAATAGACTTCGTGACAGGATTTCCAGTATCTAAAGATCCAGTAACAGGAACCGCCTACGATAGCGTATTTATAATCGTCGACCGATTCACGAAATACACTCTTTATATTCTATATATTAAAAACACTATAGCAGAAGAACTAGGAAGTATCTTTATCGACCGCCTAATTAGGGATCACGGCGCACTAAACGAAATCATCACGGACAGAGATAAGCTCTTTACTAGTAACTTCTAGAAAGCAGTTATAAGCTAGCTAGGAATAAAATATAAGTATTCGATAGCGTTTTACCCTATAACGGACGGATAAACCGAAATCATAAACTAAGTCCTAGAATAGTACCTACGATGCTATATAGGGTACGAATAAGATAATTAGGTATAATACCTGCCACTTATATAGTTTATATATAATAGCTCGTTAAATAAGTTAATAAAGAAAACACTATTCGAAGCAAATTACGGATATACACTGATAGTATTTAGAAAACCTTTAGAAGGACTAGACGCACTAAGAGCGATAAAAACAGTTGAAAGCATGAAAAAACTACACGAAGAACTACGAACCGACCTAGAGATAGTCAGAACACGAATAAGTAGGTACGCAAATCAATCGAGGATTAAGGGACTAACCCTTTTAAGGGGGGGCCGCGTCTACCTTATCCGTAAAAATATCAGAACATAACGACTAAGCGATAAATTGGATTTTAAAAAATTAGGACTATTTAAAATCCTAGAGAAAAAGTCAGATACGAACTATATTCTATCACTACCTCCGATAATAAGGATATATAATAATTTCTATATTTTACTACTTGAACTAGCACCGAAAAACGTAAAAATAATATAAGATATAATCGTGGCCGATACTAGCGACGTGTATAAAGCAGAACGAATCCTCGACTACCGAGAGACGTTAGACAGCACCGAATATTTTATAAAATAGAAAAACTACGATTATAGCGATAATATATAGGAACTAAAAGATAACCTGATTAATTATAAGCAACTCCTAAAGCAGTACCGACAGAATACTATCAGGACCCAGAACCAGACGCCGCGGTCTGCATAAAATTAACATCCGAGAATTCACCTATACCCTGCGCTATTACCTGATTCTAGTTAATCACATTAACCGCACCCGCCACCCGCGTATCGACCACCGCTTCGGACTCCTCGCGATCCGCCGCCTCCAAAGCATCAAGGGACTTAAGGCCACGGGCCACTATGGTCATACCCTTAGAACGAAGAGACTCCCTCTAACGACGGATTCGGGCTAGACAGGCTAAAGACTCAGAAGCTTCCTTCTATACCTTCTCCAACGCGCGATAAGCAGATAAAAGAGAAGCCTCGGTCACCTCCTCCTCCGTTTTAAGACGCTCTATTTCCTTATTAATACGTGTTACTAAGGAGAGCGATTAGTAAGAAGAAACGGCTCGCGGAGAATAGGAAAACACCTATAAGAAGATAAAGGGATACCTAAACTATCGTATAAGCGACTACGATAAATATATTCCCTATATTAAGAGATACTCTTAATTATAAAGCACCGGAAGCCTTTCGACTCGTAAAAGGAATAAGGTATAACTTTTACTCTAGAAAGCTTAATAGTACGCGATAACTTAATTCGATACTACGTCTTATAAGAAAGCTACGACTTCTATATACGACCGGATATAATAGTTAGCTATAAGAGAAAAGAAGAAAACCTAGGGGGTTATAAACCCGGGGTAGGTAACCTATTTATACGACTACTAGGATAGCGCTTAGAAGGGGAAAGGTAATATTACGGCTAGTAGACCTAATATACACTAAGGATATACTAGTTATAATATACTAGGGCGGTTAGCGCACTAGAGCGTAACCAGAAGATAACTCAGGACGATATTATATACCGGGTCACGTGATAGATAACCGGTATAGTATACACCCGTATAGGGAACCTATTAGCATAGGAGGATCACTAGGATCACCAGGGGTTACTTAGTCCGAGAAGTGATCCGGCGTGATCCCGAACCAGGAGATTACCAGGACGCCCGTGATCCCGTAGATATATATACCAGCATATCCCAGGTCTTGCTTCTATTAGAGAATAAGATATCGATTAATCTAAGTCTTCACCTAGACCGTTAGTCTACGCTCGACTCTACCTTATAAAGAAGACGCCTAGTCTTTACGACGTAACTACGACCAGACACTACGAACGATAGTTACTGCTCTTTAGTTAACATCCTCTTCTTATTTTAAACTAAAACCCCGACGCCAGCCCCCTATCGTCCGTTATACTATAGAGGGCCGGAAGCCGTCGTAACAAGAAGATCACAGTCAAGGCTTCAAAAGACGCGTTAAAAGGGGGGTGTGTGTTCGATGCTCCAGTCCACGATGGGACTATCTAGGAGATGTCCTAATATACAGTTGGGTGTGACTAGCCCCTGACTAGGTTATATGACCACTGAACCTTCCAGCACCAACGACGCCCAATCGCATCTACAATATATAAACTGATATTAAAGACCTGGGCTAAGCTGAGGGTAGGTGTGGGGCGTGGCTGATAAAAAGTTGAGCTGAGGGTTAGCGTGGGGTATCACGTGATATTTGCTCCTTGATACGAAGTACCTGATATAGTAATCGTTTCGTTAGTACCTTAGGTAAATGTCTTTGACACGATTTCCTCCCTGTTTTATCGGCAGTCTACACTAAATAAAGGTCTTTCTAGAAACACGTCTCCGAATCTCTTTTTGATTATCTAATATTATATACATAAGCCTAAGTCACGTGGTGTAATTATCTATCCAGACATAACGCGACTTCGTGCACGAAGTCAGGACCCTGTACCGGAGAAACGTTTCTCCAGTCCACCAATCAGACTTCATAGTGTTAGCTCCACACCTACCCTCAGCTCAACTTTAGGCCCCACTACGACCCACACCTACCCTCAGCTTAGCCCCGGTCTTCAATATCAGTTTATCTATAACCACGATTTAACCGAGTTGCCTCCTACTAAAGTTAGCTGTGATCGACCCTGTCCTCGCCCTCCGCGTTGTCTACGACGCCGACCACGACCCCGTCAAGTGAACAAGCCGACCGACAATATCGTTTCATCTCAGCAATCTTTTCATCTTAGAAGGCTTAATCGTTTTGATCCCAGGCAGGGGTGGAAGGTGGAGGTGGTGGCGGGTGTCTTCGGCGCTTCCGGCTTTCATAATTCTCTCTTTGATCCATACGCTATGCAAGGGAATACGTAGAATTCACTTAATAGGTGGAAAACAAGCCACACGCCACAGAACCCATATTGACTAGACGTGCCTAAGGTAGGGATAACGTCGAAAGAGCGACGCAAAGCTAGTCGTGTTTCATTATGAGTCGGCGACGCGATTAACTACTTCGGTCGTTACACTCCCTTCGTGCTAATCGCTCCGCTAGGATAAAGATCTAGATACAAGATACTATAATCCCCTGGTAGGTAGAGACGTATCTCTGTAGACCTTAAGTTCTAAGACTGTGACAGTCTGACTAGTTATTAGGCTCTCGCCAGCAACCCTCCCGGCCCTCCCGGCCCGGGTAGGTATCATATCAGATATATTATTACCAGTTTCACACTTTATCTTACCGAACACCACCCCTTTTTCCAGTTTCAGGGAGCCCCAGAACGGTCCCCGAAACGGTCCTCGGAACGGTCCAGCAGGCATAGCTCGGAAGGAATATCCAATACCAGGGCAAAGGGGGCATAGTTAGTTTACTGCGTGCCGCCAGATATTTGCGGTATTTTTGCTATTGGTCAAAGGAAAGGGGCAATCAAAAGTTTTCCGGAGTAAGGTAAGGTAGGAAAAGGAGAAAGTAAAAATACGGACATGTTCGCATAATGACAAGTTTGGTTGTCGCGAGGGACTTTGATATCTTATACGAGGTACGTCGGAGCAGAGTATGCACGGACCACTATTCTACACGTGGCCGGAATTTCGAGCAATCAGAAACCGGCCTCCGTGGCACCTGCACACAAATTCCTGTGCATAACGGACGTAATTGCCCTTATTACCATTCCAAGATGAGAAGTTTTCGAAGAGAAATCAATTCACATTCCCACCCTGATAGTAGAGGACTTAATGCGACGCCAATCACTGCCACGTCAGCTAGAATAGCTGCCAGATTGGCTCGACGCTGCCATGGGGAATCAGTGATTTCCGACGAAGCCGTCTTAAACGTTCATGGACCCATTGCCATAGATCTTACCTGTCCACTGGTAACCTCCCGCTTCCCTTAAGCTCGGGTTATGCCTACCGTTAGGATATTATCTCCACTCTAGCTCGCCAATATCTGTTATAATGGTTGCCCGCCTTCCTGCTCCCTTTGGCTCGGGCCGTCCTCCTACTTCGGCTTGGGAAGAGTTTCGCTTCGTTCTTCGAGAGCCTGAACCAAAGGCTCTTTTCCGTGTATTAGCCATCTTTCTCGGCTTTTGTCTGATACCCCTTAATATTGTAAATAGCCTTAGAGCAGACTTCTCCCCTTAGTACACGTGTAACCAATATACAACGCTTTCCCTCCCGTTTAGGGTGCTCGATCTAAGGCTGCCACATTTTGCCTATCCCTAATATAGGCTGGTTCAGTTAGGTTTTAATCCAATATTAATAACCGATTGACTTCGACTAACAGACAATGGAATCCTCGTCTGCGTGTTAGGGTCGTCTGAGAACTATACTATTAAAAGATTAATTGATTGAGTGATTAGATTTTCCGCCCGTGTCGGCCGTTTCAGGCTATCAGGCATCTATGCTATATACTCCGTACGTTGTCCGATATGATTAGTTATCTCACCTATTTCTCTTCTTTCTGCCCCCCTTTCCACCTTCTCTATCCCTAGTCTCTTATTAGTCTGTTTCCCACCACGAAGGTCCTTCTTCGAGCACCCGTAGGTCCTTATAGCGGCGCCGGGGCTATAGGGTATGCAGGACCGCTGAGTTAGCGGTCTGCTAGGTTAGCAGACTGGGTTAGTCTTCCTTGTCCTCCTCTCTCCTGCTTTCCTATTCCTTCTACGAGACTAAACGGCCTATTTCTTTGGCGAAGGCGATTACCGCGTTTACTCCCTTTAGGTCGGGCTTCCACTTCTCCTATACTCTATTAACTAGCTCTCCGTTTACTAAGGTCTTACTAGACTATCCTCCTAGCAGAAAGGATATATCCGCTTATCTTATTCTAGCTACCTATTATAACTTTCGCCTCTATATTATCTATTTCGGGTATTCTACTAAAAAGTATTATACCGTTTCCTTCTAGCCTTCTCTATAATCATACTCCTCCGATAATACCGCTCTAATAATAGTAAGGTATACGTTTAGTCTATATTTCCCTATATAGAGCTATATAAGTATCCCCGCTTTATCTCGGTTTAGCCTTCCGTAGAGTCCCCTTATATATCCCCGGGGTAAAGCGCTATCTAGCTTTTTAGTATACTCCTTAGTCTTCTTACCTATAAATAGCTCTCTTTATAGCTAGTCTACTTCCTAGCGGTTTATCCTATAGTCTAATCTAGTTGATTCTAACCTATTAATAGTCTATTAGAATCCCGGTATTATCGCCTCTAATACGGCTTTATAGGCGGCTTTATTACCTATTACTATACTATATCCTAGTACCTATACTAGCCTTACTTAGTAGCCCCTTTCCTATATCTCTTATATTCCTTTATAGATTAAGGTTATAATACCCTAGTTATCTTACTACTATAGTCGCGCTATCGCCTTAAGTATAGTCTAATAATCGGAGTAGATCGTAAGTCTATACTTTACTATTAGGTCTTTATTCTTCGTCTATTCCTGGATAAGACTCGTGGTTTATCCGATAGCTATTAGTTTAACTTTATAGGCGGCTGTTCTTACCTTTATCTTTCCTATTATTACGCTAAGTAGCTATTTCCTGTTAGCGAGTACTACTCTGACTCCCGTATATCCCTCTTATATCGATCCGTCCGTATATAGGGCGATATTCCCGCCTTCGGTTTATATACGCGCTTAGGCTTCGGCTTTTTCTCTATCTTCGATAATTATAGTTACTGTCTCTTTCCACGGTAACGCGCTAAACGGTTCGATTATATAGATCCGTTCGAGGTTAAGAGCTTCGAATTTCTATACCGTGATTTAAAGCGGTAACGGGAATCTTTTATTACCTATTACGATCCGCTTCCTTAATACCTAGAATAGGTGTTTCCGTGGTAGGGTATATACGTTAACCCAGAACTATTATAATTATTTAATTAGTCTAATTAGAGTAGGTAGGATATCCGCTTCGACCTTTACCACCACTCTCGCTATTATCTTAAAAGCGCCGACTATAGCTCTTACTCTAATCGCTTACGCCGAGTTAAGTTATATTAGGCTCCCCTTCTTTACCGCTAAGGACTATCTTAGTAATACGTAGTCTATTATAGGTGCTACTATAGCTAGGTATAGTTATTTAGCCGTGTTTAGATAAAGGCCTTTTAATCTTAATAAAGCGAGCGCTACCGTATAGCCCTTCGCTAATACCTTAGCTATATACTATTTCTAGTTAAGCTTCCTATCAAGAATAACTCCGAGTAGCTTAACTGCTTTTACTAATTCTACTATTTATTCTGTAATCGTTAGCTACCTAGGGTTTATAATCTCTTTCCTCGTAAAGTATATAAGCTTAGTCTTTTCGGCTTCGAGTATAGCCTTACTTTCGTGTTTCTATTATTCTACCCTTAGGATAATATAGTTTTAGAGGTTTATTATATTCTCCTCGGTTATCGCGTTAATCGCCCGTACCGTGTAGTTATTAATAAAGGCTATCAATCCCTCCTTTACTCTTATCTTTCTTTTTAGTAGGTTAGCGTTAAAGAAAAGAAATAGAATTAGTGATAGCGGTGATCCTTAGGGGAGTCCTACTTAATATAGCTGGACTCGGTCTAATAGCTCTCCGTTAATAAGAATTATAGCTTCCCTGTCTAAGCAGAAAGCATTTATCCACTTAACCTATAGTTCGGGTATCCGTCTCTGCCTTAGCCGTTCTAGGAGGACCTCTTTTACTACCCCGTTATACGCGCCCTTTATATCGAAAGTTATTAGGGTAAGCACCTTCTTATCCCGCTAGGTCTCGAAGATATTCTATACTACCTCGAGTAGCGCTTACACCGTCGACCTATATTTCCTAGCACCGTAGTAGTATTTAGAGAGTAGCTATAGTGTCTCTATAAAGTAGGACATTCTTTCCGCGATAATAGCCTCTATAATCTTACCTAGGGTCGATAATAATAAGATTAGCCGGTATAATATTACCTTTCGGAAGTCTTTCGCTTTACCCTCCTTTCTTAATAGCACGATCTTTATTATTCTCTACGCTAAGGGAAGGTATACTTAGTTAAGTAAACTAGTAAAGAGTTAGAGGAGTTCTTCCTATAATACTAGCTATAGCTCCTAGTATACTATTACTAGTATACTATCCTCTCCCGGTACCTTATATAGGTTTATTACGAATATCGCTTTATATATATCCTTTATAGTAATTAGTTCGGTATTAAACTATATAGGTATTTCCCGGTTTAATACTATAGGTTCCGTGTCCGGCACTAGTAGGAAGAGGTTAGTAAGTATAACTTACGCTATCTTCCTATTATCGCTTATAGTTATCCCGTCGTTCTTTATAATTTCTAGAATCCTTATAATCCCTATTATAGTTATTAGGTCAAGATATTTCGCTACTTACTATATATTTACTCAGTTATCTAGGAAGTCTCTTTAGTATTAGCGCTTTTATTAACGGGTTATATTAAAGAAGATCTTCTTCGCTTACCTAGCTTTATTCTTAAGTTTATACATACTAGCTCTTACTCTCCGTGTAGCTCTTGCTAGGTTTCGCTAGTATATATAGTCTTTCCGGAGGTTAGTTAGTTTAAGAGTCTATTACCTCTTAGCGTAGGGTAAGGGCTTTACCCTTAGAGTATATCGTGTAGTCGCTTCCTATACGATATCTATAAGTTTATTATAGAATACTTCGATCTAAATAGCCGGCGGTAACTCTTCTAGTCGGTCCCTTATATCCCTACGGATTCCCTCCTAGTTTATATCCTTAAAAAGCAGCCTTTACTCCGGTTCTACTACTATAATTATAGTATTAAAGTGTATTTAGATAGCTTAATAGTCAGACCCGTACTTATAATCCTATATGTTATACTTTATCTTCTTTACCGCTAGCCGTTCGCTTACTAGTATTAGGTCGATTATTAAATACTAGTTATCCTATCTCCTATATAGTTATACCCCTAGGTAGTAGGCTATATAAGCCTAGCTCCTTTATTATTCCTACTATTAGCTCTCCTTTACCTTCCCTTCGAGAGTCTCCGACTTTATCCCCTCCCTATAAGGAGTCGTGGCGATTAAAGTCTCCTATAACGATTAGCTTTATCTCCTCCCTTATTTCTGCCCTAGTCTGCCTAGCCGTCTCCACGATATCGTCGATAACCTTAGCGAGTTCGTTATCCCGTATATCCGACTTATATAGGACGTATACCGAGAAGATAAGAATATTTCTCTAATCTTCCCTTATTAGTACCGCTATTATATCTAGTAATCTTATCTAGATAGGCTTTATATTTATTCCTTTTTAGATTTATATTATCGCCCTAATAGGTAAACCCTCGCCTTAGATATTCTAGGGGAGGAATTAACTCTAGTATCTATATAAGATAAGGGAGATAATAACCCTCCTATCTCTCTTTTATCTTTAATTCGGTTCCGAGACTAGTATAACGGAAAAATCCTATAGCCCTTTATCGTTTATTAGCGCTATATAAGTCTATAATACCTTCTATATATTAGTTTATAATATTCTAAGATTTATAGCTTAGGTTCTATTAGTCCTCGCTCTCCTATATTCGTTAACCTTTACGGGTATTAGGCTATTCTATAGTCTACTACGCTATATATAAAGTATCCTGCTAGTCTAGGTTATCTTTCGAAGATTACGGTAAAGGCTATCTCCCCTTTTATATTAATAGCGCCCCTCTAAAGAATCCTTTCCGCCTCTTATCTTATCGTAAAGAATATAACCGCTAATTTATAGAGTTTTCCTATACCTTTACTTAGCTAACTAATTTTCCTAATAGTAAGATTATTCTCCGTGCTAATATCCTTAGTAATATAGTTTTTTATTATTACGGATATAGAGTCGTTAAATAAGGCTAGACGATTAACTCTGTTTATCTTTACTAGGAACCACTATTCTCCCCTTATTCTTACCCTAGGGAGATCCCTAAGCTATTCCTTATATCCACGAATTTTCTTTTCCGCTTCTTTCCCGGGAAGGGTCGCTCTAATACGTAGGGTTATTCCCGGGAGCTTAGTTATCCCGTATAGATTAATACCCTTTATTCCCTTATACTTCCTAAGCGCCTTATCGATTTTCGCTTATATCTAGCCCGGACTCTAGCCCTTAAGGCTTAACTTATTAAGGTTTAGCTTTACCGCCGGGAGTTATCTAATAAAGGTTATCTATTAGGTACTATTTAATCCGGTTAGCGTTTTTAGCTATACTCCGCTTATTATTACTCCGGCGTATATTTTTTCTATTATCCGCTACGTCTTATATACCTCCTATTTTAAAGCCTCTATCTCTGCTTAGGCCCTCTTAAGGTCGGCCTAGAGTCCCCGCATTATGCTTCGGAGTAGCTATACCGTCTTCTTTAGGCTCTCCACTTCTTCTTCCCTCTTCTACTCTCGTCTTTTCATAGTCTTTATTTACTCCTCCCTTTTAGCTTCCCGGTTCTTTATCGCTATTAGCTCCTCTTCCCTTTTAGCTTCCCGTTTCTTTATCTCCTCTAGCTCCCTCAGGAGTTAGGTGAGCACGGCTACTATCGTTACCTTTCCTCTCTTCGCCGTATCGCTATTACTTGCTTACTGTAACTCGAGGGCCTTAGTCGTTGGTCGTGGGTCTTGTCGAAGTCGCGGTCGTAGTGGCGGATTTAACGCGTCGGTCGTGTCGGGTTCGCCTGCCGCGATGATTTCCTTCGGTGCAGTATTATCGCTGATAAAGATTTCGCTTGGGCCGCCGTTAGCGGGTTCGCATTCCGGGTGCGGTGGTATGCCTCGAACCAGATTTCGGCTCCCGCTTGTATTTAGGGATCCTGTGGTGATCCAGATGTGGAGCGTGAGTGTAATCCTTCACGACGAGTTCACAAGACTCCTTGTTGATCCATGGTTGCTTGTGAAGGTGAAGCTAGGTTAAGGGGGCCACGTGATTCAATTGACTTGTGCCACCAAAGTCATTGTGTTTGTACCTCCCTTAGAAAAATAATGTGTTTACAGTGGCATATTCGAGTAATGGTGCGTGGTGGATCATGACCCATCTTTTGGGTGCTCGATAGCCCAGCTTGGGTGCTATTTAGACTTACCCTATACCCTAAACAAACCAACAGGGATCAACCCCAGCCAATCATAAAGAATTCTGGAGAGTCAAGCCACTAGGCCGTGACATCTGGGTCAGCAAACATTTCGCCGTGCCAATAATGGCCCAAGCCATATTGATGTGGGGTAATCTCTGCGCCGACGGGCCCTCCTCGACTTACGGATTGAAATTTGCCTCGGACGACCTGTCGTCGTGGCAGCCTTCACAGCCTCTCCCGTAAGCAGACCTTTAACGCTATGACTCTACTTCTTTGTAATATAGCACGCCCGACGCCTGACGACAAGAAAGCGTTGCTGCCCAAAGTGAGTGGGAGCGCTGTATATGAAGTGCCGCACTCCCCACCTGGCTATGCGACCCCTCCTTCCGTGACTGACTGACGCGAGAACCACCCCTCCAGCATCCAAAGACACACGTCCCGTTCCTTCCAAACGCCCACTACGGTCCGATCTGGCGATAGACAAGCCTTAGAGCAAAGAAACACCATAAACTCAAATCCATCGTTTCTCTACCCGCATCCAGCAACCTAGTTATGGCAGACAAGGTCAGCAGTTTATTACCCGAACAACCCATCAGTGATTCTGACGAGAAACAAGAACCCTTGCGAAGCCGACCCTCAGGTTGCAGTCGAATACGATAGGGTTATCGCATGGGAGGCTTATAAAGGTGGTAGGATCGACATCGGGTCTATATACAACATGGGCAAGAATGCGAAAGGCACTGAGGAACCTGGCGAAGCCAGAATTCCTGCCGGGGAAATAGCAATTATACATCCTAGGGCCGTACAATTCAAGATCCGAAGAGAATAGGATCCTACTTGGATAGCTGTTACACTATGGGGAGCACTTGGGTAAAGAACTCCCAGCCCTTCTGATAACCATCCGTCAACAACTTTAGAATGTAATCGGGGCCATCCATGGACTGACAATTTGCACAACATCATCATTTGCTGTATCAAGCCCACATGCCTTAAAAAGACTGTCGCTGAAAAAGCCCCGTATACTCTTTACACCCCCTTAGTTCTTTCTTTTCCGAATCTCCTCCCTAACGGCCGCAGACACGAACATGTCCACTTTGCAAGGCAAGCTGGCACTCAGGGGTAGTCGTATGACTACGAGTCCAGTGCCTGATGGGAGCGTTTCCTGATTTCTGGCGTAGGTGCTGCAGAGTCCATCAAATAAATCTTTCCCGAAGCAGTGATGAACACAGGCTAAAGCCGCCCATGTTGCCGTGGCATAGCCTTGAAAATCGGCAGCTGTAAAGTGTCCTAGCCATGACTTGATGATGGCGTCCCTCTCGTTGGCTCGTAGACCAGTCAATTGGTTAGCAAGATGTGAGGTGCCATGTGACGATTCTACGGGCGGTTCTGCTCACACTGATACCACATAGTTGCTTCGATTTGGTCACCCCATCTATCGGGGTCGACGGGCCCGGGCATTGAGTGCCCACGCGCCGTGCCACACAGAGGGCTCCGACGGAGCCAGCGGGGGTGATAAGATCGCAGCGTTGCTCCGAAGGCCTGTTATTTCGCCAAAGGAGCGCAAGAGACTAATGTCAAAGTTCCATAAGCGCCGAAATACGGCTGTAAAGTACGTCCAGAAGTTCTATAAGGACTTCCGCGCTAGGGTCTACCTAGCTATTAAGAAAGACGGCCGGTTTTACAGCTATACTTCTATAACGGACGATTCGTGGCCTCCTAGTAGGACTAGGATAGTGAGTATATCCCCTGGCTCGGCGTCTTCTGTCTTTAGGTTTAGTCCTTCCTGACTTCGTGCCTAGATAGAGTAGTCTGGAGATAATTTAATATAAGTTAGGTTAGAATATAAGGCTATACGCGTAAGGGTACAGGTAAAATAAAAAGCATTATAACTATATATATATAATACGGCTATTTTAAGAGATAGTATATAGTCGCTAACGGATTACCTAGCTTATTAGGAGGAGCGTTACGCGCCGTTATATTAAGCTTAAACACTATAATAGGTAGACGGCGATAAGAAGCTAGCGGCTATAGGCGGCGGCGTTTATAGTTAGGTTAGTACGCGAGTTATAACGTTTATATCCACTTCCGTTCGGAATAGTATTACCTTAGTTACCGTGACTCGCTTATCCTTTACCTCCCTCTCCGCCGATACCCTGATAAGCTTCGGGGAGCCTAGCCCGCCGCTTTCCCTACCGGGCGGTCTCACCCCTTCGACTCCCCCGTCTCCGCCGGCGTCCGTAACACCTCTAGTATAGGGTCGTACGAGTTACTACCTCTAACAGGCTCCGGGGTTAAGGGAACCGACTAGGTTAGGCGATCTCCTCTCTAGCTCGCTCTTTTATACTAGCATAGCGCCTAAGGTATCGGCCTCCCTAGTATTAAGCGCGCTTATCTCTATCCTCACGGTCTTTTAGACGGTTACGGCTAGCTATACCGAGGATTAAGGCGGCTATCGGAGAGGGAAATAAGTTATTAGTCCGGGGTTATAAATCCAGGGTAGGTAGTAAAGCGTAAAATTAGTAGTATAGAGTAGCTAGATATATCTCCCGTGCTAGTTTAAATTCTACCTCCCTATTCTATTAACCTCTTTATCGCTGCCTATTTAAGCCTCCCCTCGCCGCGCACTCCTAATAAGATCTGTTTTGAGTAGGCCGCTCTAGACGTCTATATATATTTCGTACTTTTCCCTCCCTCCGCCTAAAATATCAATCTACTAGGTCCTAGCAGGCCTAGACCTTATACCTATATCGTACTCCTATTTACCCTCCCTTCGCCCCCTGTGCTATAGCACGTTTTATCCTTATTAGGTTCGGCCTCCCCGACTACGGCTTGCCCGGGAGGATAAGGTCGAGCCAGGCGATAGCTACGCCGCCCTAGCCTTCTCGAGCGATTCCGATCGTGATGTGTAGCTCGCTATCCTGGAAGAGCTTCGGCGCCTTAACGTATAGGCTGCACGGCTAGAATCGCGTTTTAGTCCCGAGATCGATAACGTGAACGCGGATATAGCTAGAAGCACGGTTAGTATGCCCTTTGCCCCGCGGCCACCCTAGATGCCAAAGACTCACTTTCCCTAGTGCCCAGCCGCGCCCTGCCACCTAGGCGGGCATCACTCCAGCTCGGCTATCCCCCCTTCGAGCCCAGCAATGCTAAAGTCACTAGATATAAGCCTCTTAAGCCACGAGGGCCTTAGCCAGCCAGTTAATTAAAGACTTTATAGGATACAGAGAATAGGGAATTTTCAGGGCACGGGTCCTTATTCTAGTAGGCTTCGTGAATATAATCTATTAGAGCCTCTATCGCTTACTACTTTGCCTCGCGTATTCGTTAGTGCCTTAATAAGTAAATATCCGTTAGGGACGGTTAGTAGTTATTATTACCTTATTATAGGAGGAAAGTTTATCGCTATAGATAGCGAAATAGCCGTTAGTGCTTTATAGGATTATATACATAGCCGTGTCCTAAGCGTCTCTCCAGTCTGCCTAACGTATATCCCGGCGAGTCGACCCCCCGTTCTTTATCACTACGGGGACCCCTGGTTATACGCCCCCGAGTCGAAGCAAGACCTTCCTTTCCGCTCGACACTTAGCTGCTTTCCGCAATATCATAGACAAGAGCCAATACCACCAACAAAAATATGCTTCTATCACTAGTGCCTTATACTAGCCGTGCGGGAAGGATAGTAGACGGGCAAGGCTTGCATGCAAGGCAATCATCGAAAACATACACCGGCTCGGAAGGCTGGAGAATAACATAGCATCCCGTCAATACGTGTTACTAATAAGTATGTCGCCCCCATATGATCTTACTAGTAGTTCTATTCGTGGTATTATGATGTTACTAGCAGCTATCGAGAATCACAATGTGCAACTGGGAGGAGTTCCTCTTTACATGCCGCCACTCCGTCGTGAAGCTCAAGACATATTGTCACTTCGCGCGCAACGACCACAACCACCAAATGTTTCAGCGTACAAGTTCTTCGACAACTCGTGGCTGCAAACGATGCCTTGTACGCAATGCATTACAGCGTTACCATTCGACCAGATGAAGCCGATGGAAAGGGCATAACAACAACTTGAAACATTTGGATAGTCTTCGGTCCTAAACTAAGGGGGCACAGAACCTAAAGCCCCTGACTAAGGAGTTGGAACTACACGAGGGGCGAAGTTCTGAATCAAGGTCCAGGTCGGAGGCTATAGATTTCATAGACTTAAGACGTGGCGAGGGGCCGAGCCTCGAGGGCTATGGTAAGAGGACGGCCAGCAATTACTCAAAGTCTTTGGCGCTTGGCTATACCTACGTTTAGAACATATGGTGCCTATATAGTGAGTCGTGACTACTACCTACCCTATAGTCTCTACAATTTATGGCCTCTTTTATACATTCATAAGTAAGAGTATCTATAGACGTACTGGCTCTAGGTGACTAGGTCCCTAGGATTGCTAAGACTTGATCAAGAATTCAACATGATGATTATAGTAGATGGAAAGATCTAGAATAACAGATTAAACGACCAACGCGGAACACAAGCCCATCAGCCTTAAGAACTTAGAGGTATCCTTTATTGCCCTGACGGTTGACCAGCAGTCACAGCTCTTCCGAGTTTCTGTCATACCGGCGTGACCACGCGCGGCAGTTCTTTGGCTGCTTGGCACAGCAGCTGTCAGCAGCCCCGACTCCCCACGCGGTTCAATACAGTCCCACCGTCCACGCAGTCTTCCTTCACATAAGCAACGCAGAGGCAGCGAAGGCAGCGGCCCCTCCTTGTGCCGAGACGTGTCACGTAGGTTACGGTAGGTAGGAAGCGAGGACTTGACTTGACTTGACTTGAATTTCCTACTCGAGGCATGCCCTCTGCGATATGAGGAGCTGTTGCAGTCATCAGCAACAGCAACGCCTGCAGCAACAGCAACGCCTGCAGCAACAGCAACGCCTGCAGCAACAGCAACGCCAACACTGAGATACGATGACCCGCAAGCTATCTATCAGAGCTATGTTGCCGCAAGAGATGCTTAGTACAAGGTGCAGCCTCGTGGCAGTCTCAAGACTAACCAGCAGTATCGGAAGGCATCAGGTCTGCCTTTACGATACGATAAAGCAAGCTACGAGTGGTGCTTAGACTATAAGCAGATGGGCAAGCGCTGTACTGCATCCACAGGCATCATAGACTGGACCAAGGAGGAGATGATGGCCTATCTGGATTGGAGGAAATCAGAAGATGACCGTATTGAGGCTCGGGTAGAATTAGAGATGGGGGGTAGTCCCTTTTCAAGTAGACGAGGCGTCAACGAGATCTGGAGTGCGGCGATTGAGATTGATAGCGAACAGCAGGCTTTTTATTCAGCTAGATAACTGGGAATTGAACTCATAACCTCCAAAAGAAACATACGAGAGCTGCTTGCCAGTGCCTTTCCAAATTAGCCAGTTTGAAAAGGCTCTAGTAAGCAATCAGGGGATCTATATTATTTGGATCTATAAGGGAAGGGGTTGTAAGGGTGCTACTTCGGTAGTGGCCGAGTCAGACTTACATAATCGGCACGGGGCCCCGTGCAAAATTACAGCCACGGGGCCCCGTGGCCCTATTAGGCCCCTCGGTTTTGGCCGCTTTTAGTCAGCAGCTATGCCCGGAAGCGGGGTTTGGCCAACAGCCGACGCGCTCCGACGTTTAATCCGAAGCGCCCCACTTCGCCGAATGCCAAAGCATCCGACCAGCTGTCCCCAAATTTCCCACTTTTGCTCTTCAACCTCTATCTACATTTGGTGGTCGCCTCGTGTAGATCGCGGTTCCTACTAATGCATCCGTGTCGTAGGCTCCTTCAGGGCGCGATGCCCCCTGTGCCGGGTCTGTGTACCTACAGTCTCCCCCCAGTGCTCAGCTTTGTCTGGGTTGGAACTCGATCCTGAATTGCCCAAGGATCCCGGTTTGTTCTATGAATCTGATGGCTTTCGCGGCTGCTGTGCGCTTGTTTAGCAGGGCCCGGAGGTCGTTTCGTCCTGGGATGGATCCTAGTTCCTGGCGTCGGAGTTATCGGAATCGGCGGCACCGCAGCAGGACGTGCGATACCGTTAGTGGGATAGCAAAGGTGGAATCGGTCCTTTACTGGGTGATGCGTCGTGTCGTTGAACGGGTTCTTCCACGGTTCCTGGATAGCTAGTATGTCGTAGTTATCGATCCTGGGGTCGCGGAGCAGCGTGGCCATCACCGTGTCTTTAGATTTTCTGACGTTGTACTGTAGTATTATGAGCATGTTTTGCGTGATCATTCGCTGTCGTCGACGATTTCCATTCTGTTGCCGTCTTGTGCTGGCTGTATGTTTGCGTTAAGGGCCTCGAGGGCCCGTCGGGACCGTACAATGATCCGTTTCGGTCTTATGTCGTCGCCGGCGACCCTGATTGTGTCTCCTGCGTTTTCTTCGTTTGATTGACTGTTCGTTGGGTTCGGCCTCTTCTGTATCTTCTTCGTCGGTGACCGGCTGCGGTCTGGCCGCGCTCCCTGGGGCTGGCCTGGGTCCAGGACTAGTCGTCCTATCCTTGACGTCGTTCTAGGTCGGCTCTCCATGGTGATTGGTGGTAGAAATGAGATGGTCTCCGGGTGGTACCTTGGTCGAGATTTGTAGGCCTCTTTGACTTTGGCCAGTTCTCGTTGCCGGACCGGGCACTGGCTGTGCCATGCCGCATGGTCTCCGCCGCATGGTGCGCATTTCCGGGGTGCGGTCGGGTCGTTCTTAGTAGGGCACTCGCGGGTCGCATATCCTTGCGCGCAGTAGCCGCATACAATAGGTGCCGTGCACTGGGTTCCTATTTGGCCATATCCTTGACATCTGAAGCATTGCCTCAGACGGCTCTGTCTATCGTATCGTTCGCATTGGAATACCTCGCCTTGCCAGATAATTCCCTCTTCGATGGCCTTATTAGCATCCTCTGCCTTTGAGAATTCCATAATGACCGATAATGCCGACTTTATGGGCGATGATCGGGTCAGCCAGCCGATGTATTTGATTTCCGCGCCGGGAATGAAGGGTTTATTGTCCTGGGTGATCTCATCGCGTAGCTATGTGAAGTTATCCATATCCACAGACTTTGTTCGTATGCCGTGTACTAGTACGCCGTAGGTTGGGATCCGGACGGTGGCTTTGTTGCCGATACGGTGTTCCCAGTCCTCGGCGAACCAACGGAGTGCTTCCATGTCTACTGTTATGGCTGTCTTGATGCTAAGGTCGCCGCTTTTAAGTTGGTTAGTAGATACTGTCTTTAGCTTGTCAATGTTCTCGTTGCTGCTTTGTTCAATGGCGCGGTCTACGTGGGCTTTAAGGCTGCGTGGGCTCATAGCTCGCAGGTTGGCAATTGTGACTGGGTCCCTAATATTCACGATAATCTCGCGCTGAGTCTGCACGTGTGACGTTCTCTGGTTCTGTGGGTTATGGATGCTAGCTACTAGTCCTCCTCTAGCGACCACACTAGCATACGTATGCGCGATATTGCCCGGATTAATCGGTCCCAGTGCTTTCGCGTCCGTTACCAGCTTAAGGGTTATCTTGTTGGCCTCCAGCGCCTCCTTGGCAGTATTGTTGGCTGCCTTCACTGCATCGGTGTTCCCCTTGATCTCGGTGGTGTTGTGCGCTATAGATCTGTTCAGTTCTTCTCGGAGGTTGTTCGTGGCTCGGGTTGCCTTTTCGTTGGCGGTTTTGGTCTCGGTGTGCAGGCTTGCGATCGCGTCGCGGATGTTCTCGAGGTCAGGGATGTTCTGTATCTTGGCGATGAGTAACAGGGTCCCAAAGACGGCTATTTTGACGTTTTGAGAGTCGATGGGCTGTCCGTTTGCGTTTTCGATAGACTTCAGTGCCGTCTGCAGGTATCCGCTCAGCTTCGTGGCGTGCTCTCGGAATGGCGTTGGCCAGGCTTGTTCCTGGGGCCATGGGGTTGCCATGGTGCCAGCGTCGCTTTGGGCGGCACGACGGGCAACAGGCTATCCAATTGACCTTTCGGGACGTGTTTTGGAGCCGTTGCTTGCTTCGGTTTTCAAAAGTTTCGATCTCGCTGGTAGTGGTGTTTTTTGTAGGAAGCGAGGAAAAGCAATAGAGGCCGAATAGGCGTGCCGCGTACAGGAGCACGTGCAAAAGCCAAAAATGGGAGAGCTAAAAAACAAGGCTGAGAGCCTGAATTTCTGAAAAATAAACGGGGTGTATACACACGTGCGGCGTCGCCGGCGTGCCACGCTCCTCGTGCTAGTGGCCCCGGGCCGCGGGCGCCTAGTACCTGAGGCTCTGGCTCTGGCTCGGAAGATTGGTGAGGAACGGCTCGACGCGTTCTTAGAGTCAAGGCCTTACCTGGGGCAGGCCATACCATGGCGTACACGGTACGGATACATCATACAGCCTGTGCAAGAGGAAGCCGAAAAAGAAGGACTAGGGGCACCGCCGGCCCGGGAAATAGGCGAGAAAAGAACAGGGAATAAGTTTTGGCTCTGCCCGACAGCCGCCCTCCTTCTTACCGATTGATTCCAATTTCCGCGAAAGACAAGACGATACGAACCAAGCCGAACCCATATAATAAGTTAATAACGTGTAGGAAGAGGTGCAGGGCAGTGGAAGAGTCAGGACGGCGAAGAAACCGTGGAAAAGACCGTTACATCTACGGTTCCGCCCGTCGTTATTTTGTATTATTTTCAAGCCGTTGAGCTCTTGGGCCCGTGGGGCCGAGTCTGTGTCTTCACTGTTTTGTTTCCTTATTATTCCTGTTATGCCCGCGTTTCTGATACCAGGTTCCTTAACCCGTTCTTTTTATTTTTCCTTTTCCCTGCCTTCTTCTTCGCCTAATCAGACAAATCTATGTGTTTTTGGAAGCAGAAGTCCTGCGTGGAAGTCGGGGCGGCGTCTTTAGTTCCTAACGGGGGCTGCGGTCACGATGATTTTAGACGATATACCGGGGCCGTGAAAAAGTCCCCTCCCCCCCCCAAGCCCATCCTAGGTGCGACGGACTGCTTCACGTTTGCCTGATCAGAAGAAGACGAAGGATATCCAAACGAGGCTTTTGGTCTTATTGGTTAGTTTGGAAAGCTGTGCCCGCGGGGGCTGCGCGGTCAGCTTTGGGCCAAGGGAAGAGCTTGATTATACGACTACGTCTCTGCCCCGTTTTTCAGCCCTCCCGTTTTTGCACGTCTTGTTCCTGTATGTCTCCGTAGCCTACGTTGTTTTCCTTGTTTCCCGAGTCTCTGTATCTGTTCTTTCCTTGTATCCTTGTTGCTCTGATTCGAGAGAGCTCGAGCTGCCTGCCCTCGCGTGCCTATGTTCGCCTCGGGAGGGATTCCACGAGTGGAACGAAGAGGGCCGCCGCCGCCGCCTCTGCCTTGCTTGGTTCAATTCGAGAGAAGATTGTGTCGGACTGGGTGGTACTGGTTCGGTAGCTTCGGGACCGCGTGGGAGAACTGCCGCGCGCGGGCGGAGGGACTACCTGACTGGTAGAACTGTTTCTGGGTGCCCTGGTCAGGGCTACGGAGGATATCTTTGGGTTGTTTGTGTTTATGGGCTTGTGTTCTGCGCGTTGATTGAAACATCGTAGCCAATGGGGGAGGGGTTTGTGCGGATGACTTCCGGCTGGGCCCAGGAGGTGGTACGTATTCAAGGCAGCTTTCTTCCCCAGGCCCAGCCCAGCTAAGGTTGAAGGAGTCGCCAACGCGGGCATGCCAGCGGCTGCTCCGTTGGCTACTGTCTCTAGCTTAAGGGCGCCCTTAGCATATGCGCCTCCTTACCACCCAAAAAAGGTTATGGCGTATCGCTGTGTAATTTCGAATCCGATGCGGGCATCTGCGATCACGCTTTTGATGGGTTAGATTATAACAGGAAGGGCCGTAAATAAACCTTACTTACATACCACCTTCCACAAATTCCATCTCAGTGGGCTTCAGGCCGATCTCTGATAGCGAAATCTCGTGCAAAGAATGTCTTCCTCTTATAGTCCCCAAGCTATAGCAGTGAGAGCCGGGGTAATGCTTCGCTCGTGAATCCTTAGCCCAGAGATGAAGCAGCAAAACCCTCTGTCCTGCTCTCAGCCCGCCTCTTCGGAAATAATCGATATAGCCTGGAAACTCTTCGTAACGTAGCCAGTGACCAAGCGTGCATTTTCCTAGCAAGGCTTCTAGAATTAATCAGACACGCTAAGGAACATCAGAAAGGCATCGCAGATTCTTTAGCTTTGACTTACTGTGTCCAGAGCAAACTGTTTGCAAAGTTCCAAGCCGAACTTAGTGAAGTAGGGGAAGCCCCTGGCTTCCATGTGCCCGATACGATCCCCAACGACAGGGTCGTTCATAAAAGCCCCTCTTCGCACAGAGAAGCAATCGCTACATCTAGCGCGAACGGAGCGACCGTCATAGTCGGTGTATTATGTAGTGCGGATTATTGATTCGGAGAGTTAGTTAGCTTTTTGCTCTGCGGGAATTTATATTTGGCATCGTGCGTGCCTTGAGCCTAAGCCACCCACATCAGCCTTGAAACAGAACCAGTAACCCGACATTTACCCGGACAACACCAGGCGTCCCGTTTTCCCATACGGGGCGCACCGTTTTCTTGAACAATACGGGGACTCTTCGGTTCGAGAAAGTACCGTCCCAAGCTAATCCTCTTCACCACACATCTATGGCACAGGGCGTCACCATCGGGTTTATGGTGCATATCCTACTGCACGTCGCGCCTGTATACCACGCATTTGTGGTAATACTGGAGCCTAGAATCATCCGAGCCGTGACACTTGAAATCGTTAGCAATAGAACGACCCTAGTTCCTCGGGCACAGAGTTCGAAGCGACGCCGATCCCCATGTCGATGCATATCCAAAGGAGTCTCTACGGAGAGGAGGTGCCACATGATTACGTGTTCGAGGCGTTGTTAGTATCCGTAGCCTCGATTGTATCTGCGAAACCTAGGATTACTACAATGGGAGAATATCTACCTGGAGAACCTTGCAGTCGATGGACCCACTCAGGTGGTGGGAAATCCACTACCTGAGTGGGTCTATCTAAAACAGGCTCCTATTGGGTCGGGAGGAGTATTACATACGTCCATAGGACGTAAGGTTGAGTTACTAGAAAACTATCTTTTATCGGATAAACGTCTTCGCCTGATTATAACATAAACAGAGTCATCGCTATTAGCACTACTATGTTTTGTCTCTTAACGGCCGACGACGTCCTTTAGAGATAGCCCACTACATAGTTATTTATTAATTATTTCTCAGCCTTCGTACCTCGCTCCTAACGACGATATCTGGAAAATAATTCGGGTTAATTAGAATAACTTAGAGTGGATGATGGAAGCAGTCGGGGCTTAGAGGCAGTGGAACAATAACACGAAGGACTTACGGTTACTTAATTTAAGTTTCCGGTATCGCCGGTCTAGTTCGTTTCCTTTGCTTGTCCTTAACCTAGGCCGTATATAAATAATCCCGACCGCGTTTCCTATCTCTTATAGCTACTACGATAGTCTGGATAGATTCTGTAAGTTCCCCCCTCCTTATTGCCCTAAGAGAAACAGGAAACACAGCTAATCTAGGACGGGTATACGCTGGTCGATCCCGGCGGCGGCATCTTTACTTGACAGCGCGCAATGTTGTCCGGCCCTACGAACTTAACGTAACGGGGATTAGGGTATATTAGCACTACGTCCGGGAGCGTATTATCCTGCCGATAGGGGCGGCTTTATATCCTAGCCGTGCCCGTCTTACATAAAGCCCCACGGGATTAGGATTTTATCCTTAAACCCGTTACTCTCCTAGTCGCTATATATACGTTACTGTGTAACGCCACCTTACGGGAGATTCCTTTACGTAACGACTTTAAGGCAGAAGCGGTTATTCCGCCCAGAACGTGTCTCGGCTTTATAAGTTCCACCGAGCCTGGCTACACGGCGTGGATAGTGGATAGCGAGATTACGGTCACCCACGCAACTGGCGTCCAAGTGCATAAATGCGAGGGAACGGGAATATCCCATGGCCCTCGTCTCCGAGTACTAAGATACATATACCCGAAGACCTTTATATGCATATTGTTTTACCCCTGACTAGTACGATCGAATCCCTAAGAGATGCCGCATTTACCCCGTTAACGCCGATGGGTGCGATGATATGCTGGCCGTGCAGAGAGTATCCGCCTGGTCAAAGCGTTTTTTTCAGACATCGTACTGCAAGCTTCTAACACACCGGCATAGTCTATTAGGTAGATAAAATTCGAATTAAGGCTAGAAAGGAAAAGAATTCTAATTCAACAAAGAGAACACTGATGCTGGCTAGTGTGGAGGGCGTAATCCCTCGGTATAAGGCTCCCAATTGTGCTGGTGATATTCACCATAAAACCCCGTGATAGGAAGTAGGCTGATCCTCTGCCTGCCTGCATGAAAACCCAAGGCAGGTATACATAAGCATGCAATGCTGCCACCGCATCAGATGCCATGGAGCGTATATCACACCTAGTTCCAGTCGTACCTGCCGTCCTAACGCTCTCCGTTACCCTCTAAGCACTATAAGAGCTGCTCTCAGAGCGTGTTATAATTAGGATCTTATGCGAAGCGTAAGCCGGGGATATACCGGAGGCCCTAACAGAATCCAGGTCCGCGCTTATATAGATTGTCGATATTCGCTGCCTGTTTATATCTATATATTTTATTATATATCTCCTTTTTGGTTTTCGCTCCGATATTCTCCTAAGATAGGTTCCCTCTAACGAAGTGGAGGAGTATATACCAAAGGCTTTCTAGGTCGTCTTATCGTAATAACTTATATCCTAAATACGTATTAGTACTTATATAATCTAGTATCCTAACTCTTAGATCGTATTTTCTAGAGTTAACTTCCTTATATTTTTTCGTTATAGTAAAATCGATAATAGTTATCTTATTAGGCTACCGGAGTAGAATATTACGTGGTTTTATATCTTGATAAATCTAGTACATCTTATATATCTTTTCGAGTTTCGATATCTAGACCTATTAGCTGCCGTCTTATAATATCCTAAGTATCCACTTACTATCTATATCCTTACTTATATAACCGTCTTTAAGGAGAATCTTCGTCTATAAAGGCTAAATAAAGTCTTTAGCGATAGTCCGAGTAATTCTATAATAAGAATTCTAAAGCAGATATAGCCGCCGAAGTAGATAAATTCGGGTAATCTATTTATTATGGCTATTAACGAGTCTAATTATTAATATAGCTTCGACTAAAGGACTCTTACCTATATTAAGGGCCTTATAAGCTTAAGCCTCTAGACGTAGAAATACGAGGCGAGAATTATACCGCTCCTAGGCCTTTATTAGCAGATATTCTACGAAAGTAACGTTATAGTAGACGGAGGGTTACTTATAAACTTTACGGCCACTTTTTTATTATCCGATAATCTAATAGCCTTATAGACTATACCGAACGCACCTCGCCTAATCTAATATTCTACTTAGTACTTAGTATCCGGGTTATTTTTATCTACCTAAAGAATACTACCGCTATTAGCCACGGCGGCCGTGATTATATCTACTATTTTATCTTCTTCTCCTCCTCCTTTTTCTCCTTCTTCTAGTTCTGCGTCTTATAGAGAATCTACCGAATTTTTAGGGTCTTAGTCTACTAGCACGTAGATAGTATTATCCGCTATATATTCTATATCGGGTTAAGAAGACCTGGTTAAGTTATTACCGCTTATCACCTAGCGGTATATATATTAGCTTAGACCCGACGGATTAATACCTAGTATATCAACGATTTTTCCACGTACTATTACCACCTAGATTTTAAGAAGTTAGAAGAAGAGTTAAAGAGAGGTTAAAGATCCGAAGGAGAGCTTAGGAATTATCTAGCTATATATATAAGGTAGTATATTAAATATTCACTAAATAAGAAGAGACGAGAGAGTCCTTAGGGAAAGCTGAATATCGAGCCTTACTCTATAAAGGGGGAGCCCGGTAGACGTACCGTGTATTCTTATACGCTTATTAATTCGGTGCTAAGCTACGCCCTAAGTCGGGGACTAGGAAAAAGAGTTTCCAGGGCCCTATACCGCCTAATATAAGGCTATGCTAGCACGGGTAAACTGGTAAGCGCAGTGGAGCCTCAGATAACCCAAGGCCGTGGGCGTTCTACACGCTAGGTTTGCTCCTGAAGGACGTCTCTCTGACCCAAGTACACACCTTGATTACCTTACCGCGTCTGCCTCACCTCACCTCACTCATATTCGCCCTCCGGGTAACCTACCAAGATGGATCGCTCAGTCGGACTAGGTCAAGCCATTGATATATTATATTCTATTGTTTTTTATATTGTGGGTTTTCAGGTCGCCTACTGCGGGTTTAAAGCCAGCGGCTCCCTGTATCCCGTCGTCCTTGCCCGTCCGAGTATAGCTCGAGTTACTACAGAAGGCAGACAAGGCAACCACATGCAGGAACAGTCAGGCTGCACTATTTGCATTTAAGGGGCCATCCTTTTACGAGTAACGAGACCTGTGACAATTTGAACGCTCTGGACTCTACCTTTTACGGGCGCGCGGACCGTTATTATTGTGAGACCAGTGGTGACTCGTTGGACATTTATCTGCCTCGGCAATCGCTTAGGTGGTGAAATAGTGCTATGGGTAGTCGAATGCTTTAAATATCACGGTCGTATTTACCTCGCCTCGAGTTACCGCTTACGTTCTAATTTAGCGTATTATAGGCCATAGGCGTTATAAAGCGTCCTCGCACCGGTCGGCCCTTTTCGCCACTCAGGCATATCTATCCTATTACAGGTATGTTATCGCTAGCGGAAGAACTATGCTAGCGGTTTCGCCTGGTGTCTGACTGACTCCCGACTTAGGCTATTAAGCAATTTTCCACCAGGGCCCTTCCTGCATAAGAGGTTCCGGCGTGGGAAGGTTCTGCTGCTAATCGTGAGATACAGCTCTAGGAAACGAGCATTTCCATAAACTTACATCGTTAACATCATCGACATCTCTAGGTTGCAGACAAGGCAGCCAAGTCCGTGGAGGGAGATCTATCATATAGGTTAGAGTTTGAGTGATGACACGTCACGATATATAGCTTAGCCCGGCATAGGCATCTTATAATATACCTCTTATGCTTAGCCACTAGTTAACTGTAAGAGTGACCACGGCCGAGTATGTGGCAGCCGGTTACTCCTTCACAGACCCTATTTTTATCCTGCATAAGAATGCCGCCACGCGGCAAAGGGATAGAGGCTAGTTTAATAGGTGGTAGAGGAGGAAACTAAAGAAAAATCGCTTGCAGAGGAAGGGCAGACAAGGCAACTAAACTGGCTCGCCAATCCTTTCACCAGATGCACCATATTACAAATTAGACCTATGTCTTCCGGACGCATGGCCGCTAAGACATCGCTCGATCGCGGATGGCTAGTCAGTCAGAAATTGAGTCTGCGTGCCCCCTGCCGATGCTGGATGGGGAATAAGACACTATTGATAAGCAATTGGAAAGCTCGGCTCCAGTGTTATGCTGGAAAGATGCAGCAAAGAGATACAAATATCCCGGCAGCCCAGCTGCCAGAACTGCATTTTGCGTGGCTGCCTCGTCAGTGGCTTCGTCATTAGTTGCAAAGGGATGATCTACATGGATCTAAGGTAGGGGTGGAAAAGCAAATTCCGGCCATGAAAAACCGTCGAATCTTCACATTCAAGTGTGACAATAACTGGAGCCGCGTCCGTGGACAAGGTCCAGCATTATACCTCGTTTATACCTCGTAAGCTATTGAAGTATCGGGGTACACGCAGGCCCCACTTTGGTCTCCGGCAGAATTCTCGCGCACGGACCCCAGTCAACGATGGGGCATATGTTCCCCACTGCTAGGGTCCCTTAGACGCCCAAATAGAATGCCGACCCAGTGACAGAGGATAGGCCACCACAATGTTTCCCAATACCAATCACATAACTGTTGGTTCTCCAGAATGGTACGTTATACTGTGTACAACATAAGTAGCGTTCGATCGAACGCTATTAAAAATGGTTTAGCGCGGATTAAGGCCAGCAGTTTATGACAACATGGTAGCGCGTTTCGTTACTTCCCTTATTCGTCATAATCTTATACGCCGTCCTGATCCGGGTTAGCTTTTAATAGCGACCAAACGCGACACATGGACGCACTGCACTGTTTATCACCTCTACACAAATATTTGCGTTAGTGCTGATCTATCCAAGGGGGTTCTGTCCCAGAGTCCATTCACCTACCTGAACTCCCAATATGTAACGTATACTGAAGATGTGTCCTGACATAGTCTGGACACCATTGAGATACAATCTAGCGGAAGTGGCCGCAATTAAATTCTCTCTATGCAAACAGGCTTCAGCAGGTGATTCCAAAGCATGTTAGCGGAAAGGGAGAACGAAGAAAAAACATACCTGGATCCACTCACACATTGCGAATATCAAGATAATAAGTAGTCGCAGTAAACAGGTCAACCCTCCGGACGACTCGACCGAGCAACCCAAGGAAGACAGAAATATAATGACTAGCTTTGATACGGTGGTACCGGAGGCTGATACAGAGACGAAGGCTGACATGGGATTCAAGTGAGCCATATATTAAATTATACTAAGAGAGCAGTAATTCAACTCCTTATTTACTCCGTATAATAAGTGACTCGTGGGTATATTCTAAGACTATTAAACTTTGCTCGGCGCTTAGGCCGGTCCGCTAGATACCCGGGCGACTATAGGTGCCCGGCCGTATTAGCGAAGCCGGCTTGCTATTACTGACTCCCGGGGGTAGGAACCGTTCGAGCTTCGCGATATAGTCCCGTTGTGATAGCCAGATCTTCCGTGCGGTCCGATCCTATATTATCTCGATACCTAGGAACCACTGCAGCGGGTCGTCGCCCTGCAAGCTATAGTGCTGCTTAGGGGACGCATGGGTATACAGCTACCAACCTGTCAAACGGCCCAAGGCTGCCTACTAACATATAATAAGTCTCGTACTACTTCGTTAGCACCCAATCCTGCCTGACCCGGCCGTTTCTACCAGTTAGTTAAACGGGCAATAGCAGACCTCCCCTTCCACTACCATTCCGACGGAACATCAAAGACATCTGTTACAATCGGGCTCGGTATCTCTTCCTCAACCTCGCCTAGATCTGACGTGCGCGGGGGCCGATAAGTTATCGGTTACATACAAAGAATGGTCGGCGGGTCCGGAAGTCCCTGGGCAACGGCTCCTGCGGTCGCCCGGGTATCCGGCGGACTAGCCTAAGCGCCGAGCAAAGTTTAACAGTCTTAGAATATACCTATAAGTCACTTATTATACGGAGTAAATAAGGAGTTGAATTACTGCTCTCTTAGTATAATTTAATATATGGCTTACTTGAATCCTATATTAGCCTTCGTCTCTGGATCAGCCTCCAGTACCACCGTATTAAAGCTGGCTATTATATTTCTATCTTCCTTAGGGTCCTTAGTCGAGTCGTCTGGAGGGTTAACCTGTTTAGTTCTGCTATTAGTCTAATTCCGGTTAACTGGGTTAGAAGGGACCTTACCGTAGAATTTGGAGCCGAGCGTATACGAGGACGTAACGACGAAGCGGGAGTAGAGGAAGTTCTGGCTAGATGCCCTTTCGAACCAGAGGAGTCCGCATTTCCGTTTATATCCAAAATAGCCTGCTCTGGTGTTAGCTAAGCATCTTGTACTCTGTCTAGTTTCTTCCAAGGAGTCTCCCGGGCTGAACCATCCAGGCGCATGTGGGACGGGCCAGGAAGCCCATGGTGGAAATACTTCGTCCGCTTAGTGGCGGACCCGAGCCGGACGGGCTGGGGGGAGACTAGGGCGGAGATTTCCATCATGTTGGAGTCGCGCATTTCGCTTTTGGCTGGAGAATCTTGTAGCCGAGTGCTTTTATATCCTTGAGGGGATACGGCTGGAATCTTGGCCACGGGGCGGCAGCCGTTGTCTCCTATGGCCTAACAGACTATTGCCGGCTCCAGGTCTCCTGGGACAGCGGGTCTGCATTTCATCGTAGACGTTTGATCCATGTTTGCCTTTATTGCTTGACGTGTCAGAGAGAGGAAGAAAGCGGCTATATTAGTTCACTAAGGAAAGGGGATAGTTAGAGAAAGGCGCAACGTATTTATATTAAGGGACAAGCCCTTCTTATGCCTCCGCCGCTATTAACTACCCTGATAGTAGTTATAAACCTAGCTAATACGAGTCGGCTACGTAGGAGTATAGCTCCTATAAGATTAAAAAATAGAAAAAGGAGGGGGCCGGGATACCTATACACGCGTATTATCTAATAGAGCTATATTATAGTTAACCCGTGGACGGCCGGGCTACTACTAACTTCTACTTAATAAGACCTGCCTAGTACTCTTTACCCCTAGCTCTTAACTAGTTATCTCCCCTAAGCTTATAGCGCTATAATATCTTAGGGGGTCGGATAACCCGGTTAGTACGGCCTTTTAAAGGTAATCCTAAGAATCTAGTACGATTAAGCAGGGGTTATACAGGTAACCTAGCTAGCCCGACTATAATATCTCCTCGAAGGCTAAGAAGCGTAAAAGGGCGTAGTGCCTACTTTTCCCGTGAGTCACGGCCCTTCCCCTGCTTCTAAAGGGAAAGGTCGGGATACTTTCCGCTCGTGATATCTAATAGGCGCCCAGTTCTGTACTCAGGGGTGAGCGAAAGCGTTATCATGGCTATCCTAAGCCACGGCCCTCCACTAACCGTCCGGCGCCAGAGTACCACGAATTAGTTCTCCGGCCTAGAATAACGTTAGTCAGGCTGAGGCCTTAACACGGATACTGCTTCCGCATGTCTCTACTACCGGGGGTGGGACTAGACAGATAAAGGCCCCCCCGGGGGGGGGGGGGGGAAGGGGGAGAGAGAAAGGGAGAGAAGGGCGAGGAGGAGACCGCTAACGTGATAGGCGGTTCTTGATCGTCTATAAAAGAGGCACGCTGACCCTTCGTTGACCTGCTTCCGTGGTCTCTCTTGATCTCTCCTTTATCCTATATCCCCTTTCTCCCTTTCCCTCCTCCCTCCTGCCACCACGCCATCCTCTGCCAACAAGCGACACGTGATAGATACAGAGCTCGGCCCCGAGGAGGACACTTGCAAACATGGACAGCCTGACGCCTCAGTTGGACGACCTGGAATGCTTCAGTGGTTCGGGTCTCTTTCATCATCAAATGCCAGTGGGCATCCCTGCGCGTTATCTGGCTCACCTCTCACCCAACCACAAATTGGTGCCGATGCCGTTCGCCCCCTGGTTCAACGCAAATACACAGCTAGCCCCTATCAGGTCTCCTTCTCCACCAATCCTAGAAAGCACTTTGTGGGGTGATAATAAGGCAAAGCTCGAAGCCCCAACCTTCCTCGATGCCTCCAACGACTACGACAACTAGACGCAGCCGTCTGGCGCTGAAGAACCCCCGGCGGTCTACTATGCACCGGATGCGGCTGGCGAACCAGTGATCCCGGCGATGGACTATGCCTGGAGTAAGCTCCTATTCGATTTAGAGCTCCTGGATACTACGGCGTTAGCGGAGCTCGTGGATAAAGAGATGCCTCTAATGGCTGGAAGCTCCGGAGGAGTCAGCCCTCGGACTTCACGTTGCCCACGCCCTGTCATGGAACGCCTCCCTGACTTACGCCCTCGTGCGATTACTGCCTCGGGCAGAGGCAGACGAGCGCGTCCGCCCGACTTTACACCGCCCGTCTCTGGCCTTAGCAAAGCTATATCTGGAATGCCCGGCTCTCCTCAGAATAAAGCCTTCTTTAGAATATCCGGGCCCCCGCACGATAAAGCCGACTCTAGACGGTCCGGCTCCCCTAGCGACCGGGCCGACTTAGCAGAGAGTATATACCTGCTCGTATCGGCGTTAGTATATAAGATTAATAAAGAGAAGGTTCTATTCTCTCCTAATCGCCGTGCCTATAAATAAATAAGCAGAAAAGGCGTTAAAAACCCGATTTAGCGTCCTCTAGAGATTATAGTCCGCCCTAATAGGCTAAGTGGGTTTCCCGTTTATCTATAGTAGGAGTAAAGAATAGAGCTATTCGTCGAAAGCAGGCCTTTTAGTTATAGTCATAGTATACTACGACTATAAAGGGAAATAGTGGAAAAGCTTATTACTTATCCGGGAGAAAGCCTATTATTCTGTAAGGAAACTATCGAATCGCTATTCTAGAGCACGTAATATAGAATAGAAGGGACTAAGTGTGAGTTTACGAATTTAGTTAAACCTATAGTATAACGGTTCTTATCTTATGCCCCGCTTCTTTATATTAAGATTATCTAAATAGACTAATAAGAGGTTTGCTGCTATATTTAAAGTTATGATATCCATTTATCCTTAGAACCATAGACAGCAGCTAAGTGTTTACCCTTAAGGTAAATCGGGGCGGACGCAGTTAGGGGCTAGACCGTAGCCCAGCTATTAATAGCTGGCCCCTCCTATGGACGGGGCCTAGATATAACGGCTCTTCTTCGATAACAGTAACTATCGTAAAGGGGGTTCATAACGTACTTCTATATACGTCGCCTGAATTACCTATAATATACGAGTCGTTATAGGTTAGTGTAGAGTGCCAGGAATAAATATACTCTAGAACTTATATCGGAAGACGTTAGATCCTAGTACTCAGTCTAAGCCATAGAATAGAGTATCAGGAAGTAGGGAGCATCACTCTAAACTATCGTTAAGTTATAAAGACACGTTAATATCATTGTATAGCAGACTTATAAAAAGCTGAATATAGAGTAGGAATACGAATAGTCAAGAATATAGAACCTCTATCTACCACACCGTGTAAGAGGCCTACTACCGATATAGGTTCCCGCCAGCTGGCAAGATAACACGGCACAGTATGTCCTTCCTGGCCTTATAGTCCAAATCGTCCCTATACTTTAATTTTAGCCTCTTTATCGGGGCTTATTCGCTCTCTTCGTCCGCTTCACGCTTCCACTTACGCTTAGTTGGTATCACGCCTCTCTCCTTTCTGGATGGCTTCTTCTTAGGGCTTCCATTACTTTCTTCCTCTCTCTGTCGATCTCCTCGTTATCAGATTAACAGATCTTATGAATACAATTTCTTGCAACCTCTGTGGCTTGCTCTATCTATACCTAGCATCTCCTAACATATCCGCATATAGCCATCATCTACTTAGTAAACCTTTAGTATTACCGCGTATTTATTACGTTATTATACTATGATAATCTATAGCTCTCCCTACATATAACCACAGGGCGTCTCATAGAGAGTCTACATCAGGTATGCTTCATTGACTGTCAGCAGCCAGCACTCCTAGTCGCCTATTTGTTGGCTATATCCCCGTAGAAAATCCCACCACACAGGGAGGCAAATTGTCTATTGGCGTTATGTCGGACCACTACGTATGGCCGCTATATGAACGTCTCCCCGGTCTGCCCACCCTGCCGCTGAGCGAGTTGGCCCCGAGTTCTTTATTAGTTCGAGGATCCCGGACCTCCCTTCTCCGCATCCAAGTAAGACCTCACCTCCCGTTTTCTTTTTATTCATCTTTCCGCAACAATAGAGACGCGAGCGTCACCAATACCATCAACGACATATGCTTCTACCACCAAGATGTCTGGCATTGCCGCCACTAGAGGTGGGGGCCAATCCACCAGCCGTGTGAAAAAGGACGTCAAACGGGCAAGGCTTACAGGCTCAAGCTGATTTATGCATCTAATCTCGAGTATACCGAGTGCCCTCTATACAAGGCAATCATCGAAAATATGCATCTGCTTAGAGCTTCCTGCAGATTTTATTGGTTACCTGAGCCCAGCATCTCGACGTCAGCCAACGTCGCATCACCAAAAAAATACTCCACGATCTGACTTATGAATAAGCCTATACATCGCCTAAGCTTCGTGACGGTCTCCTATAGCGCCTCCGTACAGCCGACCACGTTTATCCGGACGCCATTCATTAGCTCCCTAAGGTCTTCGAGCGACATGGCCGTCTTATCGATGGCGGCCTCTATCCGAGACAGCCGCGAGGATATAGTCTTAAGGCGCCTAGCTTTCGTTAGCACACATAGGGTATACTGCCACTTTGAGGTTAACCCTGGGTCCGCTGCTGGCTTACCGTATAATCTCTTGGTGCGCGTGCTCGGTGCTTACTCTGCTGGCTAAAGGGGTGACGGGAGCTATCGGTAAATTAAAGTCGAGCTCGGGAAGACTGGCCTTAGGCGGGGCGGGATAGAACGCTACCTGGTATATAGCCTAGTTATTATTCGTTTTAAGAAAGTCCGGGCCTATAGCCTTAAAAGCGCTCTAGTCAACGTATAGAGTAAGCTTATTATAGGTGCCCGTGGTTATAGCGGGTACGGCGCTAGCGGTTATAGTACTGTTAGGGGTTAAGGGCGCCGCTATTACGAATAGTCGAATAGCCTAGTTACGATAACGCTTACGTGTATAGAAGTGCTAGAGTATAGAGACTATAGGCTTATTCGTGATTAAAGAGTCTTCTTATAATAACGTTATGCTCACGTTAGCCTTTTCCTGGCGCTATATTTCGTCTAGCTATATTAGTACAGTGCCTGTAAAGTTAAGCCTTAGCGAGCGCTTATTAGGTTATAGAAGCGCTAGGTTATATAATTAAATTTGCTCCGTTTTTGATTTTAAGTCTTAGATCTTAAATCTTCTCTTATAAATCTTTCTTATTAACGTTCTATCGATCGTGCTATAGTATCTATATACCTGGGCGATTCCCTGTGCCCTAGATAGTAGATAGCGTGCCGTGTCGACGTGTTTTCCTTATCGTCGCGTTAATAGGTTATAGAACTGTACAGGCCCAGATAAATACGCTGCGAAGGAATCTTACGCTTCGAGAACCCTAACTCAATGCCCGTCCGTTACTCGTTCAAAGCCCGGCCCTGCTCCAGCCCCAGCGTCGCCAGCTTTATTATTCCGGGGGAGCTACCCAGCGGCGATGCGCATATCACATAGTAGGAGGGATCCGGACCACCCTGTGCTAACACGCGCCGGGGACGTGCACTAACCCTATGTAGGCATTGCGTGGGCGTAGCACCTGAACTCGGACCCCTTGCTATGATATGCCCGACAGCCCTTTCTACCTCGGTACGGGTGTAGTAAATCAGTAGCACGTCTTTGTTAATAGTATTTTCGATCTCTCTATTAGTTTCAGAGTATATACCCGCGGAAGATAAAAAAAGTATTGAAATGGGATAATAAAATAGATATTTGGCTGAATTGAAATCAGATGAGCAAGCGCAATAGCTTGGCTATGCTTTCGACCTTTATGATAAAGAAAGGCTTTGAGCTGGAGGAGGTATACTTAGGAGTCGAATAGCGTATAAGTATACTAGGCAACCTCCTTGGCTTCCCACTGCGGTACTTCTCGCAGCGCAATAGCGAAAGGGAGGGGGTCTTTCTATCTAATGACATTTCGGACGGGGTACAGGAAGTTTGGGTGGTAGCTGAACTTCTCGTGCCTGGTTGACCCTTTTGACATAACGAGTTGGTATGGACCAGACACCATCGGCTCGTCCTGCCGTCATGCATAGTACCATTTTATATCATAACTTGCCAGAGGTAACCTTTGTTGCCTATCTAGCCTGTATGCGGTTTGACGACCATCGCGGCCGTGTCTCGCTAGCTTCGGGAGCTCAGCTAAGCCAACTGCCCTCTAACTCCATGGATTATCGTGGTCCTTGCCTGGCACAGAGAAGCTATCGGCAGCCCCATCTTGCGGAAGGCCCTGCTAAATGTCAGCGGCTTAATTATATAGTTGAAGTATTACTAAGTACTAGCTCTCGGGTTCTAGCCGTGCACCTGTCTCTTAGTGCTTTAACGAGGAGGATCGCTATACTAATCGTGCATTACGCAGGTCTTATTCCAGTACCCGGCCTAACACTAAGCCAATAAAGTAACGCGGCCGATACGATAGATAGGTAGACGCTTATAACCACCCAGAGCCAGAGCAGCCTTATTATAGCCGCCCTATGGTCGCGGCTAATAACTAGAGCATAGGTTAGTATAGTAGCAATGTTGATATAGGATGCGATTCAGACAGATATAGTGTTAGCAGATAAGGAGAATTATCCTTAGCCTAGGTTCGGCGTAATTCGTGCTGGAAATAACAAGGTATCTTACTGGATTATAGTCCGATTAATTAGCGAATATCTAGAGAGCGATCAGTTATAATATCTTAAGCGCGATATACCCGCACTTTATTAAACGGTTACGCCGTGCTTCTTTTAAGTGGGGCTTAAGCGCCAGTGAATACTAACTATCTTCACGTTTGAATTCAGTTCTCCGTTTTCATGTTTTCACGTTTCGGGGTTCCGACCAAAATAACCCTGACCATAACAGTATAAAAGAGGTCCATAACTACTAGGATTAAGGCAATGAGCGGAGGTAGTATGTCCACTATGGGCTTCCTGGCCCGTCCCATTTAAGCCGAGGTGGTCTATCACAGGAGACTCCTTGATGACATCAGAGTTGAGGCTAAAGCCGCTTATGCCCGCGGCGCCTTAGGCAGAGCGAGCGGACCTAAAGGCTCTTAGAGAGTACGAACAGCAGCTATCTCTTCTTGAAAGGACGGTTACAAGTGGCCATCCACTGCCGATGCCTGGCATCTAATGTCAAAGCGTTTCGCAGACCGCAGTATTCCGCGTTTCGTGCCGTTAGGAAGACATAGAAGGAGGAGATGCTGGCCGGAAACAACTACTACGCCTGGGATAAGCAGCTAGTTTGGGATCAGGACGAATGCGCGCATGCATGCAGGCGCTTTAACGACACGAACATCACGGCGGATATGCTAGCCGGATTGATTCCCCTAATTATATAACTCCGGCCCTCCTACCAGCGGCCGAGTCGTCTAGGTTCTAACCACGCGGTGCGAGCATCCCTTTTCTGCAACTACGAAGATACGATATCTCTATCAGGAATGATGTTGCTATCGGGCGCAACTACACGATTAGCGACTCTGCACAAGTGACCATCGGCGGCG